GTCGTCGTCGTCGTCGCCGTCGCCGTCGCCGTCGTCGCTGCCGGGCCGTAGACATGGTACGTACACGTATTTTGCAATATGATAATATTATTATACCGAAAATGTAGTCGTTCTAATGCGTGTATCGTGGTATATAACATACGTATATTGTATTCCACGCGTAACCTGCAGCTATACGTATAGGTACTTATTAGGTATATGATAAAGTTTTAGATTTATAATATGATTATACCCGGGGAATAACATTATATACATAGATGCCTGTTAATTTAATATTTAATAGAGCTTGTAAAAATTATCCAAAAAAAAAAAAAAAAGTTTACCACTGAAATCAGTCAGTATACAAACCGTTGTAAATTATTTATTTATAATATAAATATTATTCATTATAATATTCACTACCGACTAAGAAGTAAATGTCAGCTAGTTTTGGGCACAATATGTCTTTTAAAAAGTAATTAAGTTACTTAACTCGTTATACCTACTCAACTGAAATTTTATTGAAATTATTTTACTATTCTTACTTAGAAAAAAAGTTATACCTGCGGGTATTTCTCTAATTTTTTATCTAGAGTCAATCAACAACCAACGTTTGTAAAAATAGAGAATAGGTATAATTTGAACAAGGTCCCAAAAAATAATTTAAAAAAATTAAATTAAATTAAGTACCAATAGGTATACATCACACGTAAATATGCGTTGTCCAAATCTAAAACATTGAGAATTTAATTTAATTTTAAAATAATATATACTAAGAATCTACCTATTAATAAATAAATAGATATTCTTAAATAGAATAAATTTTTCTGATGAATTAAATTTTTTTTTCATTTCATGATAATTATACTCAAAACGGTAACATGGTATATTATTTTATTTATTTATTTATTCTTGTAATTAACAAAGGATATAATTTTATCCTTTGTCAATTACAAATAATATTAATATTATATTATAATAAAAACAATAACAGTTTTAAAAGGAAATAATATATATTCATGAAAGGTTTTATAAACGTAATATTCTATGAATTAAATAGTTGTGTCAATAAGCAGTTGTGTGGGAAGTCCGATGAATAAACTGGTGACCTCCAAATGTTATAACAAGAAATATGCCATGTGGTAGGAAATTGAAAGAAAAATCAGATATTTAATGAAATTATTTTTGAAAGAAATTACAAAAGTTTTTTCAATTTAATTTTTTTGTTTGGAAAAATTCTACAGAATTACGTAACGTAATAATTATTTATTACGTAGTAACTTTTGTAAATAGTAGTAAAGGCTCACTATATTTCTTATCCGAACTAATTCATTATATTTTGTTACATAAATGCATTATGTTTAATTAATTATAAAATTATACTCTTCGTATTAAATTAAAAACCAGTTAAATAGTAAATAAATGAATATATTACCTTTATAACATTACATCATTTACGTTTTATTTTGTAAAATAAATTATATAAGGTAATTAAAATTAACTATGATTGTTTATTTGAAAGATGGGGTACTAAGCCTTTCTCAGTAAACTTCTCCCAACAAAGTGCACTTACGCATACTATTTTTTATATAAACGATATTAACGCAAAATTTGTATTAAACGTTTTACATATGATCGAATATATATATATATTATATATACTATGCAGGCGCTTACACTTAAATATTTTTTGAAAATATGATCTGTTTAACTATATCAAAATTATTTACATCATATTAAATCTAAACTTATTGATTAAAATATTATATTATATTTTTATACTAATTACAAACATTGATACAACAACGATGAATAATATCCTTTTAGAAGGTCAATAGTATAGGTATACCACTTAGGTACTATATTATACAGTACATAGTTAATTCTTCACAACGTTCCTCGTGGTTTTTTACCCCTTTTTTAACTCCGTTAAATGTGCACCGATTTTTAATACAGTTATTAGAGCGGTTTCAATTAAATATATGTCCAATTTTAACTAATATTTTATTTTATGTGATTAATGGCAACCTTAGATTAATAAAAAATATTCGTTTTATTTAATTATTTCCTGTGCAAACCCCTCTTCAAATTGTAAAATTTAAAAAATTGACTTCGAAGTAAATATTTTTGGGTATAAGTTATTTGTATACGAAATTTCAAAGCTAAGAATACGATAGACTTAACTGTAAATCACTTACACAGTTACACAAACACACACATACATATGCATTTTATTATTATAGGATGTATAATTTTGTTGACATAATTCTAAAATATAAGGTTAGACATATTATTTTATCTATTTATGTACAATATATTTTGTATATAAATCAATGTATATTTTTATGTTTTGTTACAATCATTACAAGAAGTTATAATGCATTATAAATTTGTATTCTGCTAATCGTCTTAAATATTAGCTTAAAATATAAAACATTTAATTTTTATCTATACGTATATACGACTAATATATATATATATATATATATATATATATATATTTATAACTCATAAGTACGTAATTTATAAACACGCTTATGTATATATCTCACAATACTACTAAAATTCAAAAAACTAAAATTTGAGAAAATTCAATTAAAAATTGAATCTAGGTATTCTCAAATATACAATCAATGTGTAGCTTTAGTTTTTAAACTTTGCAATAATATGTTCATATTACTTGATTACTCGAAGATTACTGGTATTATTTTTTATATTAAGCTACTTTGTTAAATTTCAACTAGATATCAGAAAATTGAGTTTTAGGAATTTTGCAATAAATAACATAATTGCCACATTTCGTTTTATATCAATTCAAATATTTTATAAAATAAATGTGACAATTTTGATTTTTATATGAATATAAAATAAAATTTAAAACTACAACTCAAAATATATAATTATTACTAATACAAATTTTACTTGTACATTCATTCAATTGAGAACTGTTATGTTAAAACACCTCAAATCAAAAAAAGGCAATATTGATTTCTTATACTTAAATAGTAACTTAATATATTATAAAAATATATACCAAAATATGGTAGTATTATTTTTTTTTTTCCCGTAGTATTGAATTAGTAATTAAATTGATATCAACACATGATTATTATGGAGTGATTAAACTATTTTTTACACATATTTTAATTATAATAGTAAAATATTCATCATTTTAACTAATGTAGTTACTATAATAAAATTATAAATTTCTGCATATTTTATAAAACATAAATGGTAAATAAATATCAACATTTATGTTGCATCTTTATGTAATAGATATTAGATAATGCATAGAAAATTAATAAAAATTAATTTTATTTATTCTTTGAAAATAATGATTAATATAAATATTATTTTCTTGTTATAATTCATTTGTTTTTAAAAATCAGCTATATTATATTGTTAAAGTTTGTTCAGTTGTTTAGCACTGAATAGTATACAATATTATAACTATTTGAATAGAATCTATGTCAAATGCAGTCAATATCTTAATGGAAGAGATTATTTTTTGGGGGGATTCATAAAATTTGTATGCAGACATAAAAGATGGTATATTTCCAATGTACATAGAACTTTATTTAGTGAAAAACTGAATGTATTTAAACTTTAATAAACTTGCATAAAATGTTTTAATGCTTGTTTTATATATTTGTTTATAACTTATACTTTTTGCTTCCAATACTTGAATCAAATTATAATCAAATACTCAGTCAAATATTTTATTTTTATCAGTATAAAAGCTACAAGGTACCTATATTAACATTTTAATTTATATAAAATTACATTCAATTACACTTTTAAAAGGAAATTATTATGATATTGTACAAAATTTAGTTTTGAACATGATATTTTAATTAATAAAAATATCAACTAGAAAGTCTGATATTTACTGAATATTAATCATTATTTTAAATGAAAATCATTTTTCCCATTAAAGTATTTAAATATAAAAATACATCGTATTAAATTAAATATTTTAAATAAATAACTTGACTAATAAATTTAAACTCTAAAATTATAATAATATTATTTGGCAATATAATATAATTATTTATAGTAATATCTCTACTATTTAGGTAATATTTTTTCCATATTTGTTCTTATTTAAATCAATACAATAATATTGTTAAAAATTTAATTTAAAACCATTAAATTATAAAAATATGATAACATAAAATAGAATTATATTATAATATTTATAATAAGCAGAAGATTTTCATAAAATTGTGTTGTATAAAATATCCAATATTATTAAACTACAGTGGTTAATTATTTTTTATCTTTAAGTACTTTAAGTTTAGATAAATGGAATATTGGAGTGGAGGAACCATTGTATTATTTTGATAATAATATTATCATCGTAAATTTGTGCTTAATTAATTGTTGTATTAAATAAAATTTGAAGATATTAAGTATGTTTCAAATATATTTAAAGTCAAATGAAAATTACATTTTATGAAAATTGTATATTATCTAATTTCAAATTGTGCATTGTTATTTGAAAAAAAAATTTCAAAATAATAATGGTTAAATAAGAATAACTTATATTATAAGCAATTAAAAAAAATAGTTACAGCATTAATATTTATATTATTGTAGATATATTACATTATTAAAATTATTTTAATCATAGAATACTATAATAATCATTCTTATTATAATTTATTAAATTAAATTTTAATATAAATTATACAATGTTTTATGATATTAAATATTATTTTATTTATAGATTTATTGTTAATTTTTATAGTACCTACTGTTTTCTTTTTTAAATTTTTTTTATCACAGTTATGTATATATAAATTATACAGTTAACTAAAATGCTTATTTATCAGACGTATTAATATATTAATATTAATTTAACTGTTATTTTTTTTCAATATTTACGTATATAGAATTTTATGTAATGTATGTGTATTAAAAATTGTAAGCAAACCGTTTTAATTATTATGAAAATTAAATTGTTGCAGTATGGATAACATCATAATACCTACAAAAAGCATAGCCCAGAAAACATCACTATGGCACCAACATTGCCAGAGTGGGCTTCCATTGTCAAGAACAAAGTTCTACGAATATTTCAGAAGTAAGTTTATTGTTTAAAATATTTATTAACGGAAAGTTTTCGTGCTAGCAATAAAACGCAGATGCGTATAATATAGGTATAAGGAAATCTAATGTAATGAATATCGTATGAGAAAGTTCCTAGAAATTGAATTATTTTAGGTATAACAAACTTGCAACATAGACTTGAGAATAATAAAACACATTTTTTACGGGTAGGTAATGAGAATCGTTGTTTTAAGGCGAAAATCTTTTCTAGTTTAAATTTTTTTTTAATTTAAGTATTTATCTCAAAGTGTTATACAGATTAAAATGTAATAATAATAATAGTTATCAAAAAAATATAGCAAAAGTAATGAGAATTTCGTATATTGCGAGTATAATCTTATGTAAAATGTGAGTTTATGGTAAACTATAATATTGTACATTGATCAAATTAATTACTATAATACGTTAATTACTAAATAGCTGGTATTTGAGAATAATTTTAAAACTGTTTATGAAAAATAAATAGTAGGTTTTTAAATTGTATTACTTTTCAGTTTAGTTTAATTATAAATCAGATAATCTCGGCTGAATTCTTAAATTCATTTGAATGTACTCCAAGTGTCATTTAATTTTAGAAATTTTAAAAATTTGAATTCATTGTGACTAAATCAAATAAATATATAATTAGAAAAATTATATATATGATAATTAATATAATCTATCAGTAATAAACTAAAGACTATAAATATATTCTTGTTAGGTATAAAAAGCAATAATATTAAAAATCGTTACAAAATAATAAAATATAAATCTAAATATATATAAATTAATACAAATTGATATCATTTTAAAAGTTAAAATTATATTGAAGTATCAATAGTTATCATTTAAAAAAGTAATATATTTTTTTGTGATCTTAGCGTTTTATTACAATTCTTTTAGAATATGAATGTTTAATTCATATTAGTTATTTTAAAAACTATTAAAAAAACGTTTATGTTTAAATAAACGATATTTAAAATTTAAAAAAATGATATACCTCTAAAACTTTATACATTTTTTCCACTTTTTTATTAAAACGTATTGTGTTTATAGAATATTTATACATTTTTAGGAAAAATTTTTTACTACTGAGCATTTTAACTACATCTTTAATATTCTATGAAATTTGTATAAAAAATTTAATATTTAATTTAATTAATTAAATATTTAGATACTAATTTATTACAAATTAGCTTTTTGGTATAAACAACATTTTTAAAGTAATTCGTAAAAAACAATTTTAATTTTAAAAAGTTACGCTTATTGATTATGTATTATAAAGAGTCATATTTTATTTCCACTATAATCCACCGGAACAGTTTACCAAGGAAAATTGCATTATCAGCGGAATGCAGCCATGTTCTCCCCTTGAGGCTTATTGCAATAAAATGAGGATTTCATGTACGATTGTCCAACTCCCAAAAGTCAAGTAGTTATGTTATCAACACGCACGAATACTGAGAATCGTCTGTGTGATTGATTTTTTGGTATAGTTTTCACAGTAAAATATTGTTGGTTTATTGGAAATGTACTAAATAATTAGTAAAAGATATGATAGAATAATTTTTTTTTTTTATCTACTTTAATTTGAAAGTATAAACATCTATTATAATAGTTTATGGCGTTATATTATTTAAGCAGTTATAATATAGCTCTAATATATATTGTAGCTATAATATACGTTCTTTAATTTTTTAGGTTAACTATTTTTTAACAAAAGAAAGTTAAGTTTTTGAATAAATGTAATTATCTACTAAACAATAAATATTTAATAATAATAAATATACCCATTTTACAATAATTAAAATGTATATCTATAGTAATATATTTATATATATATTGAGATAATAATATTATTTCTACACAAAATATAATAAAATATTCCAGAAGGCGACTTATTTGAACAAAAATTATTAAATGACATTTATAAAAATAAAATGAATGTCATATAAAATAATGTTGTCCTCATAAATATACCATGCACACTTGCACCCTATTTATTATGACCCTAACACACACACAGACACTGCACAAACCCAATTCCATTATATTATGATGCAATAGGTATAAGGAAATTATGTTTTTATAAAAACGACTATAAATATTATGCAATATATTGGCCCTTTTTAAGTTCATTATTGTTTCAATCTTTTATGCTGTAAATTATTTTTAGCTAAATTTGAATTTTTTTTCAAATCAATATTTTTTATCATATAATTAATCTAAAATTCAAAAAGATTAAAAAAATTAATTATATGCTTCTATTTGTGCTTTTTTTGCTTATCTAATGTTTTCATTTATATACATTTTTTTATCGTTTAATTTTGAAATGTACATAATATTATGTTGTATTTGAAAACGATTATTGTATACATTACTTATAATTCTTATAGAGTTTTATTATTTGGCGTTGAAAAACCAAATAAGATTTTTTCACCATTTATTTCTCAAGAAAATCGTTTATTATTACTACTGTGTCGTGTTTATAGAATAACAGTTTTTTTTTCATTGTATTAATGAACGATCCAATAAAACGTATATATTCTCAGAAACTCATATTTATTATACGGACCGTAATATTATCAAAGCAATGTCCTTTGGCAGTCATTTATATAGCTGCGGTGATGCAAAAGTCGTCTAGAAAAACGGCTCAATCGCACATATACACATTATTTAGAAAAAAGCTTTTATTTTTATCTTTGTAATCCGAGCCGGTCCCTTTTCTTTTCAAGACAGTATCACTTACTTTTAGACAACGAAAACGACGACAAAGACGTTATAGTTTAAACACATTAACTTTAATCGGTTTTACTTTAGTCGCGTCTATATTCTCTGTTCTAAATTCGAATTTAATCACAAATAAAAACCCCGTAAAAAATATTATATCTTGTCCGGCACGGTATATTTGTACCTAAATTATGTGTGTATACATGTATAATATGCATATAAGTAACAGCAGTAGTAATGTAAATAATGATCCGTTTTTCTGATAATAGAATTATTTTATCAATATCTTCTATTCTAAATTTACCAAATAATATAAAAATAATGTGATATCAGTTTAAAGATAAAAATTAAACATAATATGCAAATTGATTAGGTACTTAACAATCTTTTATAATGGATATTTTTTTAATAATTTATCACGGATGTTGGTAAAAAAAATAGATTATAAATTATAATAAAAACGATGAATTTGGACAATAGCTACACAGAGTGATTTGTCGAGTACGCACACTTTCATTTTTTTTCCTTTAATAATATATATTTATTCAAATTCTGTTTTTGTTATTTCTAAAAGCACTTAAAAACTTTATTTTAAAATCCTTGATATTATTTTTACTATTAAACGAGTGTTCTGTGGTGATAGAAACGTCTGATTTTCAAATAAGAATCCACTTTTTTACTGTAATTTATCATGTGAATATTATTTTTCGAACAATTTTGATTTTTAATGTAGGTACTTTATTAAAAATTCAAATTAACAGTTACTCAGCTATGAAAATGTTTTACTAAATAATCTTAAAAATGGTTCGACAAAAATATAAAATTGATATAATATTGATTTGAGTACTTGGACCATTTATACAAATTCTCATTTATTAAACAAAAGTTTGTATCCTGACGGGTCATTCTTTATAAGTAGCAAGAAAAATCTTATGAATCTTAATATATGATCATTAAGTTAGTATATTTAAATGCTCCAAAATCTGATTTTGTATAATTGTATTATTGAAGAAAAAAACAACGGTATGCATGCTTAATGACTCATTCTGTATATGATACATATATATGTACATACATGACATAATATGGTAGGATATAATATGGCTTTTACATATAGCTTTGATAAATTAATTACATTGTATAATATCTAAAAGAATTTTTTGTTATTGTTGTTTTTAAGCTTTTATTATTTTTTTTTTCAAAATTGACACGTTTTTACTGAAAATAATCGCACCACACCATGGGACTTATTGTACATTTGCGTGACAACACGCACGATTTAACCACGACACACTCGTGGCGACGAACGACGATATCCTTTCCCGTCGCTACCGCGTAATCATTAATATAATATGAAAAAAAACCCTTTACTATCGTCAATTATGTTTATTGCTTTTCCGTGGATGCTTTTAGCTGACGTCCATTAGTGTTTCGACAAACTTTTCATATCCACGCCATTAGTGTCATTCTGTATAACTTTTATGCCATTTGACGTTGACATAAAAATCAAATAATATATTAATAATAATAATAACGGGAAAACACCGTTTAAGACAATGGCGATCGAATCTAAGGCGCCGCATTGAACAGACTATTCGCTTATGTAGTTTCGTCTAAATTATTACATTCACATTATGATATAATAATGCGTCAAATGTTTGTATGTATATTGTATATAGTTAATTTATAAAATTATTTATGGAGTGTATATTAATAAATACAGATTAATTAATAGTCAATGACGTGCTTACTCTTCATTTTACCCAAATTTAATTGTATATTTGTTAGTATTTGCTAGGATTTGTTCATGTCACTTGAGAAGTCACAGCTAGCAGCTAGCTGTAAATAGTACGGGCGTAAACCACAGTTTGTTGGCTTGTTGAGATTAATACACCGATGATTGGTGTTCGGTTAAAGATTTAAAATTTTAATTGAAATTTTACGAACAGCCCTACACTGTACTACTGAGGTCTAAGACTCTTAATAATTATGAAATATTAATAATATATATAATAATATATTGAACGCGTAATGAACTATTGGTACGTCATAAACAATACACATTGCATTATGTCTATAATTATACGGACGTCGAACGCGTTCAATAGGAGGTATGTGTAAATGCGCGTCAAACGCTTTATAGTTGAAAAAGTTTCGAAGGTTTTTTTTACCTGCAGCGTAACAATATACATAGGTAATACAGATGCGATGTGAAACGCGCGTAATGAAATATATATGTACATTGTACATGTATAATACAATTTA